ATCAAATTAAGTCATTTTATTAAAGGATTTTTTTTTTCATTTTACTGTTATCTTCTCATACACAGAACAAATCAGATTATTGTTACATACATTTAGTGACTGACACGCTAATTCATTTGAGAGTTTTATAATCAAGTTTATTTGCCTCAGACCAACAATAAAGTTCTGCTGTTGTTTATTTATCTCTGTGACAGATGCTCAGCTGCACCTGGTGGTAGAATATCACACTGAGCTCGCTTCAATTTCAGTGGAGAAGAACATCAGATATTTCTCTAATACTAACCTTTTATTACACAGGCTTCTGAAGACATCATTTACTCAGTCAGTTCTTGGCGCATTAGCGTTAAATACATTTTCAAAATCAGCACCTTGTTTTGCGGCCCAGTGTCACACTGAATACATCTGCATGAGTTACTCCTGACTGGAGAGTTAGATAATGAACATGTACCAATCAGAAATAATTCCAACAGCAGTCCTCAGCAGAGAACTCTGAAATCGCCTGAGAGGAAAAACAACCTGCTCAGCCAGCCAAATTCATGCAGCAGACAAGGTAATACTGTGATGCTCTCCACAAAGCAACTTAAGAGGACAGCACTTAGAAGTATGTTTCTCCAAAAAGTCCCTGAAGAGAGGCTGCCTGCCTGCTCCGCTTCTCCCCTGACTGACAGCACTCTCCAGAGGAGCTACACCGCAGGACACGCTGATCCAGTCTGACACGCCTGACCTTTCCTGGGCCGTACGGCTGGCTCGCCATGCAGCACGCACCGCCTGGCTGAAAAGGCCACACCATGCCATGCAGGCAGTGCCATCACAGCCCTCCTTCCCCGGCCTCCCCTTACTGCCTCCTCAGGAGCTGGCAAGTCGTATACTCAGGACTCAATCTCAGACAGCCACTCAATCTCAGAGGCTACCATCCACAAAACAAGGCCATACCATCAAAATTTGGCAGTGATATAGTATTGGCATTCCTTTGGCGTGCCCTTAGGTGGACTAAACATTTTTCTAAGTGGATTATAGTATTTTCTTTATTACGAATGGCATGTTTTGCTGGGCGAGGGTGATTTTTTTTTTAAAACTTTGACCTTATACCATTTATGATATTATAATTTAAGGCATTGCTCATACACAAATTAATTATGAGGATAAAATTTGCATAACGCTGTTAGTCATCTCTTTCAAATGGCACATAAATGTGCCTTATGCAGTGGCTGGTTAGTGAGGTGGTCTAACATAATGTGTCTGCCAACAGTCTCGGTCGTCGTGGCAGAATAATCTCAGAATAGATGCTGCGGGAGCGCACTGAGGAACAAGGCATGAGAGGACTGTAAGAGCAGAATGGATGCTGCAGCTGTGAAATGAAGAGCTGTCGCATCTAGTGAGCACTTCCCTGAGTAAAGAAAACACTTGGCACAGCAGAAATAAATCATGCGCTCAAGTACTTCAGTGTAATATACATATATATATATATATATATATATATATA